AAGGCATACCGCGTCCGGTGTTTTGATTAACTGTCACGTGAGAGTGTATGTAACTTTATTGCGTCTACAACGGTCGTTGGGGCGTCTAGCAAAGTGTCTGGGGATGTTGCAAAGTCCCTCGGTAATTACCTAGCGGGTGCGCGAGTTAGGTGTATGTAAATATCTTGCGCTCGCTGTAAGTGTTAAATTTTGTCTAGGTTTCTCATACTTGATTTAGTGTTGAATTTATGTATTAACCCTAACTATTCCGAACACAGATTTAAACTATAGACAGTCTGAGAGGAAAACTGCATTTTAACAGTGAGTAATTAACAACATATAAAAGTTTGAAAATTCTTCTATAAAAATTCCTTCTTAGAGAATGATTCAATATCCCAAAACGGTGAAAATTACTTCTACATTTAAGATTTCACAATCACTTATAAATATATATTTTAGACTACATGTATCTCACCTGCAGTGAGGGCACTGATTTCTCTGTTCTGTTAGCCATCTCTGTAACAAGATTGAAATCATGCATTTAATATTATAATGTAATCATTTACGAGTGAAAGAGGAGAGATAGGGCTTGATGTTAACTTAAAACTTACTTGTCAGAAATGTATGTTGCCGATGTATTTACATTTGTACTATAGTTTATTTAAAATTCAGTTGTCCAAATGTCAATTTTACTTGTCCAGGGACTTTAGAGCTACTCTGAAGGGAGAGGGCGTTTCTAGATGCATCATACTAGATTAGTAGTCCACTCGAGTTGGTCAAAGTCACTTTTTCACATGTCATTCAAACAACAGCTCATAATGAAACTCCAACAAGCAACAATGTGCATTTGCTAGTCGCTAGTCAATATTCTGTTTTCAATACTGTAAAGGGGATAATTATTCACTGGGTTTTAATTTGGCTTATTTCGCTGACTGGAAAATGCACTAAATTAAAACCCAGTGAATATGTAAAATTTAGCATAGAACACATTATCTAAATGATAAAACCGTGAATTTAAAACCCACTGAATATGCCTGAAATGGAAAATCAGTGAAATTTAAACCCAGTGAAAATTAGTCATTTTACAGTACTCTTCAAGGAAGAGTTGGTCATCATTTTATAACATTTGGTTTATACAGCATGTAGCATGTAGCTGGAACATGTAGCCCATAAAATAACTGCTTGGGTTTGATTGTGTCGATTGTCACGGATTCTTGCTTATTTACATATAAAGTATCATGAATTATCATTTGATTTGGTGTCTGGTATAATTATTTAACACAGCACATGCATTGAAACTTACCCTTATACACATGAAGCAGCATAATTTGGAACAATGTGGACAAAGTCTGGTGTCACGCAACTTTTCCATACAAATGAAACATCGGAACACCTCTGCTAAGCTCTGAAAGAGATACAAGTTAATTATAATATAGCAAGAAATATTTTCTTATAGCCACATACATGAACCTGAACTACATTTTCACTGTAGCAAAGTATGTATTGAATTAACATCATATTTCCTTAGCAGTTAAAGTGGCAGTGGTTGTTATGATGGAGATTACTATTGAAACAAACACAGGGCGTGAAAACCAAAGATGTAATTCGCAACTGGTTGAAGTATGATAGTATTCATTGAAGTGCCTGATAGATGATGTTCATATACATCCTCATCTCTGATAGTGCTCAAAATTATTAATGTTATCTTTTAGTCAGCTGTGTTTTGGTCATTGTCGGATCGTTTTAGTATTTTAGCATCAGTACTTGAAATAGTAAATTATCTAAGTTCTGCATTTATTTTTAGCAATGTTTTTAAAAAAAAAAAGACAGATATTTGTATTGGTGAATCCTGCAAACCAAAATTGCATTCACCAAGTGTTGGATCGTTTTAGTGAGGTATTTTAGCATCAGTACTTGAAATAATAAATTTTGTAAATTATCTAAGTTCTGCATTTATTTTTAGCAATGTTTTTTTTAAAAAAAGACATATTTGTATTGGTGAATCCTGCAAACCAAAATTGCATTCACTGAGTGTTGGATCGTTTTAGTGAGGTATTTTAGCATCAGTACTTGAAATAATAAATTTAATAAATTATCTGAGTTCTGCATTTATTTTTAGCAATGTTTTTTAAAAAAAAAGACAGATATTTGTAGTGGTGAATCCTGTAAACCCAAATTGCATTCACTGAGTGTACAACTGTAATTACAAACCTGAAGAAATGACAGTAATTGAGATAATCAATAGGCATTATACAAGACACTGAATTTTGTTATGAAATATAATTGAGAAATTCTTATAGTAAATTCATGAAGTGCAACTTTTTCGAGGTTATGCATAAAAACATTGATCTCAATCTATATTTGGAGGCTTCTTATTTTGAACTATGGACCACACATTCATGGTCAATGGGCAAAGAAACCAATCACGTGTAAAAATCAACTATTTTATAACCTGTTGTTGTGTTATATCGCAAACTGCCCCTAGCAACAATTAAAACAATCAACTCTACACTAGAGATATACATCACTGGAAAACAAACATATGTCAAGCATTATGTGATTATTAACATAAATTTCATATTATACTAAATGTTCTTACAGGCTGAGCGTCCACTAAATTCACATTGTTTTCCTTTAGTCAATTTCCAGAGTCATGTAAAAAATTAAAATATGCTACTACAACATACACTTGATTTACCGATTAATGTCCAGATGTTGAGTTTACCTCTCTACATGCTACTAGGCATATTATAAATTAGAAGTCTTCAAAACTGATCAATTTGCATTGATACTAGGCATAATTTGGAAGTGCAAAAATTAATTTTTATGAATTGAAAAAAAAAACAATTTCAGAACTAATCAATTCATCAATATGTTTTTAAAAAGATGATTATTTGCTCAGAATATTTCATGGTTTGAAATTAAATGCATTGTTTCCAATTGGTGGTGAATGTGTCATAAATTAGTGTGACCAAATTTAAAGTGACTGCCTTAGAAGTGCGTATTATAATTGTTTTTCTGTTCTCTGGTTGGTCTACCTACTTTGTACACAACCGGAACTCGTAGCCCTAACAGTACTATATTGTCACAAAGAAAACTTTAACTACATGTATGACCAAGCCAGACACACAATTTTGAATTTACCAGCTTGCCTGTAAACGTGCAACTGGCATTTACATATACAGTGTAGCATACAAAATGTATGTCTCACAACTAGCAGTTATCATAATGTAAACATTCGTTGTGTGACAGTTTTTGACAACAGTGCTGCTTTGGTTGCTGTTGGTGACTGGCAAAAGGTTAGGGGTTGGTCCAGTTTACCAATACGTTTTCCTAATCAATTAAGCCTTTGTGAAAGGGGTATTCCTATTATATTATACAAACTTCATTTTAAAGGTAATTCTGAGATACAGAAATAAATTTAAAGCACTAAAAACCATGTACAAATGTGATACAGCACCCATAAGGTTCTACTTGCTACTGTGGTAAAATAAAAATTGGACCTGAAACTAGTGGTGGTACATGTACATGGAACAGTGGTAAAAATTCAGACCTATTTTTCGGTGTTGCAAGGATTATATTTGTACATGTATAGTTTTCTGTTAGCGGCAACGTTGATACATGTACAATGTACAATTTGAAAAAATACAGACACTGATTAGCGTTGTATGTCTGACTGGATTTTGATGAGTTAATGAGTGAGCCACTGCAGATGGCAACCACTTTTTCAGGCTTCAGAAGAATTTTTTCAGGAATGCTAGTATAATACAATACTGTGTACACTCATTTGGTGCATCACTGTATATTTTTGACAAAGAACACATGCCAACCCCCCCCCCCCCCAAGTCAGCATATGAACCTTTAATTTCTTTTAATGTCAGCCAGTGCAGCAACAATACTGAACATATTTGTACTTTTCAAGTTACTCAACATGATCGTCTAGCAGTGTCACCTGTAGTCATCCAGGTCAACTTATTCTATTCACATAAACTGGGGACACCCTCTACGACAATTGTCATAATCTCTGGGATACACAATGGAGAACACTAATCAACATAACAATGCATATTGTCATTTCCACCAAGATTACGAGGACAATTCAATTAAATGTCCAGTTGTGAATACATATTGCCTTCTCTTTTAAATTACATTGTCCTCGTATAAAACTCTTGCACGATACTGTAAATCTCTTTTTTTGCAAGAGATAAAAGTCTGTGAATTTTGTAAGCCAAAGAAAACAAAAAAAAATTGCAGCAGTTAATATTTATAGACTGCAAAACAACGAATTTCTTGAAATAATTTTATCTCATAAATGTGTCCAAATTACCTAATGGTCAAAACAGCAGCTAAAATATATTACCGGGTATACTCAGAAGGAAAAGGACTGTTGAAATATTGGTATACGATACGCAATTTCTTCAAAATTGTTTGTTATAAAAAGTTGTGTTTTATGTTTTTAGCTAGTCCACAGTACAATACACAAATTTTGACTGCTGGACACATTGCTTTTAAAGACCCATGTAAGACGACTGGGCCCTCGTCACAAGTTATTACTGGGCTCTCTCTGGAATTTGCTAGGTAATAGTAAATTTACTAATCAAGAAAAAAAAGTATTAGTAAACTTTGTCTGGAAACTGCAGAGCATTTTCCCGCGACCGAGCACAACGGGGAAGAGAGAAGGAGAGGGAGCTGTCCCCTCTGTCGTCCGCCGAAAACAAGAACAGCATGCTGAAAATGGTGCTTGCTGGTAGCAACCTGAGCTCTAATTTTGTGTGTAATTTCATGACATCAAATTATGCAGTCTGCTCCACAAAATGTACCATTTATGATGGTACAACAAAACATCACAACAAAATATGCAATGTAGACACCAGAACCTTTATTTGAATAACTCAGTATTAATTAAACATATTCATGATAAACTTGCATTGTTAACAGTGGGGAAAATAGTCATCATTCAAAAGTTCACTAAGTTCACTGCCTAGAACACAAGTCATCCTGTGAATAAATGTTCACGGGAAATTTCTCAGAAAAAAAACTCTATGCCAATCAATATTATTATGAAGTAATCTCCCGTGCTTATCATGCAAACCCGCATGTTGACGTTTATGACGACACAAAATGACTATTATTTTCATCGAAAT